GTTTCAATTATTTTGGCAATTTATTTCAAAATAAATATCAGCAAGTATGTCTGTAACAATACAGACAAAAATTCAAGTTCCCCCTGCCCAGACCAGCCACTCACACCCCCTCAGGCATCCTTAACTCTAGGGCACACCCTCATGGCTAGATGCAGAGTTGCAGGTACTCCTGGGGGAATTCTGTGCCACTGCACAACGCATTTTGCGGAAATTAGTGTTGTGTGTGCAGAATTTCCTTCCTCCCCTCCCCCAGAAATGGTCTGCAGAGCTCCTGGCTGCCACTAGCGGCCGCTGGACCCAGCAGAGCCCAGCTTGCAAATAGAAGACAGCGCCAGAAGGGAGGGCGAGGGAGCTGGAGGGTTCCTGGCAGCTGCAGTTCCCAGCATGCCCTAAAAGGACACGACAACACACAGGAAACTCTGTGCAAGCCCAGGACCAGCATCAGGCTGTTTCTCCCTCTGGATCCCTGGGCTCTAGGAGGGTAGGAAGTGAGAGTGGGCTGGGACGGGGGCCCTACAGAGCTACCCTGAGGGGAGTAAGAGGTGAGTATGTCTGGGACAGGGAAGCCCCAAAGCTGGGCTCTGGGGGGGAGAGGGAATTGTCTCTAGGCGGGGGGCCCCCATGACTGGGCTCTGGAAGGGAAAGGACAGAGCAACAGGAACTCTGGTTTCTAACTCTCTGCTCCTGGGGGAATCTGTGTGTATGTCTTATTCGTTACAGACATACTTGCCAATAGGTATTTTGAAATAAATTACCAAAAACAACTGAAACTGGAGTGATTATATAGTGTTATTTTGACAAATAAAATTTGCAGAATTTTAAAATATTGTGTGCATAATTTTTCATGTTTTGGCACAGAATTCCCCCAGGAGTAAGATTTACACCCTGTCTATATTAGAGTAGTTACACCAATGCAAACCCCTAATGTAGCTACACTACACAGGTGTAAGAGCAGATTTCAGAGTAGCAGCCGTGTTAGTCTGTATTCGCAAAAAGAAAAGGACGACTTGTGCCACCTTAGAGACTAACCAATTTATTTGAGCATAAGCTTTCGTGAGCTACAGCTCACTTCATCGGATGCATTCAGTGGAAAATACAGTGAGGAGATTTATATACACACAGAACATGAAAGAATGGGTGTTTATCATGCACACTGTAAGGAGAGTGATCACTTAAGATGAGCTATTACCAGCAGGAGAGTTGGGGGGAGGAGAGAAAACCCTTTGTAGTGATAATCAAGGTGGCCCATTTCCAGCAGTTAACAAGAACATCTGGGGGGAAGCGGAGGGGGAAATAAACAAGGGGAAATAGTTTTACTTTGTGTAATGACTCAACCACTCCCAGTCTCTATTCAAGCCTAAGTTAATTGTATCCAATTTGCAAATTAATTCCAATTCAGCAGTCTCTCATTGGAGTCTGTTTTTGAAGTCTTTTTGTTGTAATATTGCGACTTTTAGGTCTGTAATCGAGTGACCAGAGAGACCGAAGTGTTCTTCGACTGGTTTATGAATGTTATAATTCTTGACATCTGATTTGTGTCCATTTATTCTTTTATGTAGAGACTGTCCAGTTTGACCAATGTACATGGCAGAGGGGCATTGCTGGCACATGATGGCATATATCACATTGGTAGATGTGCAGGTGAACGAGCCTCTGATAGTGTGGCTGATGTGATTAGGCCCCGTGATGGTGTCCCCTGAATAGGTATGTGGGCACAGTTGGCAACGGGCTTTGTTACAAGGATAGGTTCCTGGGTTAGTGGTTCTGTTGTGTGGTTGCTGGTGAGTATTTGCTTCAGGTTGGGGGGCTGTCTGTAGGCAACGACTGGCCTGTCTCCCAAGATTTGTGAGAGTGATAGATTGTCCTTCAGGATAGGTTGTAGATCCCTGATGATGTGTTGGAGAGGTTTTAGTTGGGGGCTGAAGGTGATGGCTAGTGGCGTTCTGTTATTTTCTTTGTTGGGCCTGTCCTGTAGTAGGTGACTTCTGGGTACTCTTCTGGCTCTGTCAATCTGTTTCTTCACTTCAGCAGGTGGGTACCGTAGTTGTAAGAATGCTTGATAGAGATCTTGTAGGTGTTTGTCTCTGTCTGAGGGGTTGGAGCAAATGCAGTTGTATCTTAGAGCTTGGCTGTAGACAATGGATTGTGTGGTGTGGTCTGGGTGAAAGCTGGAGGCATGTAGGTAGGAATAGCGGTCAGTAGGTTTCCGGTATAGGGTGGTGTTTATGTGACCATCGCTTATCAGCACCGTAGTGTCCAGGAAGTGGATCTCTTGTGTGGACTGGTCCAGGCTGAGGTTGATGGTGGGATGGAAATTGTTGAAATCATGGTGGAATTCCTCAAGGGCTTCTTTTCCATGGGTCCAGATGACAAAGATGTCATCAATATACCACAAGCAGAGTAGAGGCATTAGGGGATGAGACCTGAGGAAGCGTTGTTCTAAGTCAGCCATAAAAATGTTGGCATACTGTGGGGCCACGCGGGTACCCATAGCAGTGCCGCTGATTTGAAGGTATACATTGTCCCCAAATGTGAAATAGTTATGGGTGAGGACAAAGATGTAAGAACATTGCTTATGATGGTGCAATTACCTTGATCCAGTGTAGGATCAGATTATTAACACAGGTGTAAGCCCCACTTCAAAGCTATGCAGTGCATTACAGCTATGCAGGGAGTTTGTATTGATGTAACTACACTAGTGGAAATCTCTAATATATAGGTAGAACCTCATTTGCCAAAGGGATTCATAGCAAGCAGTGCAGAACAAACTATTTGCTTGAGACTGACATTCCTTCTGCAGACTCCCAGCCCCAAAATAATGGAGTGAGCTGGAAAGGAACACAGGGCTCCTTCACAGCAATGCACAAGCCTATTAGGCCACCCACCAGCTCACAACTGGACATTAAGAAAATTATCTGTAAAACATTTGATATGTTTACTATAAACAAACATCAGGGGGTTTCTCTGTCATGTTTAGCTGGGTTAGTACAGTAATTTGCTTCTGAATTTTCCTATATTCATACAACAGTATTACTAAAAAGGTACATCTAGTCTGATATTTTCTTTTGCCTTCGCTCCAGCTTACATTACAGCCTGGTCTACACCTAAAACTTGGGTCAACCTAAAAACTTTGCTCAGAGCTATAAAAAACTTCACACCCTGTGCGATGTCATTAGGCCAACCTAACCCCCACTGTACATGCAGCCAGGTCGATGATAGAATTCTTCCATCGTGGTAGTAAGCGTGTAAGCTATAGTGACACACCTGCAAGCTCTCCCCCGCCAGCTAAGAGTAGCTAGCAGGAGCTGTGCAGCTGTAAGGTTCATAGTGTAGACCCAGCCTTACAAGCAGAAAAAAAAATTGTCTCTAGTGTAACCTATGTCCAGTGCTAGTTTGGAAAGTACTGCATTACAAAGTTAAGGTCAGAATGCACGAAGTGGTCTTTTTCAGGATCTTAAATGTGAAAATAAATTTACCAAGCCTCTCGCAATTAAACTGCTTGCCACAAGATAAAAAAAAAAGTTATGTATGCAAAGCTTCTGCTGACCCAATCATCGTCTACAACTCATATTCCCACTTAAACATAAGCTACAATTAAATCTAATTCAATTTAAAATCTCATTTATATTTTGCTTTTAACAGTTATGTACATAACTCAAGTCCGTTAAACTGAGTTTTGTAGGAACAAAAGTACATTTAAAATTCTGTTTAGTCTCAGCTGAGAGGGTAATGCAACTTTCAACTTCTCAAAATAAGAACTGCTTAGACTAGCAGTTCCAGATAAAATCACAAGTAGCTTGGAGTAACCTCTTTCTCTGAAAAAATAGTGACCAAAAATTAGAAGAAAGTAATGGGATTTGTGTAATGTCAGGTTTTTCACATCTGTATATTTTTGATTAAATTGCATGCTCTTTATTCATTTTATGAAACACTAACTGTAAATAGGGGAAAATGAAATAAACTTCTTTCCAGAAGTTTATAAAGCAAGCAAAAGGTTAGTGAAAGAATGCTACTGCCACGTATCACCCCCTCCCCCACTCACTGTAATGGACATTTCATCTCTCCAAATTTCTTTCCAATGGGAATCTCAAAAAAGATCTACACCTCTAAAATAAACTAGAAAATCAAAGTTTTGTACAGTATATAAACCTTGCTTGCGACAACTAATTCTTGATTCTCATGTCTTTTCCACTGCTTGCAGAGATCACTCTACAGAGCTCAGCATAAAAACATATTCCTAGCATCTGATGCACAAATAAAATTAGCCCGAAAACTTATTACAAGTTTTTTCCCCTTCTAATTTAAAGAAACTGCTTTAAACAGCCCCAATGCAATTCAGTCTGCTGAAGACTGGAAATCAGGAGTTACAAGGAAAACTCATGTGTGTAGCCTCCAGCTACAGTATTCTTGTTTAAACAAACATAGCTAATATGCTCTCTGGTGCCATGACAATGGGCACAGACTAAGAATATGGATGGAAAATCCATTCCATAACTGCACTTGACTAGAGAAGTCTGATCCCATTTCAGAAGTAGCAAACACGTGCGTATCCTGATCAATACGCAGATATGCTTCCTTCACGGAAAGAAGATTCGGGATCAGCAGGAGGACGGAGCTCCTAAAGTGGGTGGATGACTGCATCTGCCTGGACCCCCCCACCCCTTCCAGCTGGGCCCGAGAGGGGCTGCTGGCGCGGCTCACGGCCAGAAAAGACCCTCGGACCCGCTCCGGACCGCACAGGTTCTCTCGGGGCCCGCGAGCTCCCGCCGCTTTTAACACCCCCCCCCCCCCCCGCCACCCGGCGGGTCCGGCCCGCCGCAGAACCCCCACGCGGGTGGAGCAGGCTCCTGACGACAACAGGCGAGAGGCGTGAGGGAAAAGCAGCCGCGGCCCCAAGGGAAGAGACTCCCCAGAAAGGCCGCCTCGGCGGGGTCAGGCCGCCCGCGGCTCCCCTCACGCCGCGGGGGCGGGGCGGGACTGCAGGTCGGGCGGCGCCTCACCTGCGGGAAGGCGGCTGCTGGCTGCTCCTGCTGGGACACGGGCCCCGCTCTCCCTGCGCCGCGCCGAGCCGCCGGTAGACACGGTAGGACCTGGCGTGTGGCGCAGCCCAAGAGCCGCCTGGGCCTCTTCGGAATCTTTATATCGGCCGGGCCCGTGTCGCTCCGCCCGCCGATGGGGGGGGGGAACCACAGCTGCTGGCCACGCTGCGTCTACGTGAGCTCGAGCACAGCAGCAGCGCCCTGCGCAAGCGCAGCAGCCTGCGGGGGGCGGTCACCCTGCAAACTATGTGGGCGTGGCTTGTTCGGGGGCGTGGCTACGTGCGTCCCTCGGGCTGGAACAGTGGGCAAATTGCACGGTCCCCTGGCAGCTGCATAACCCCCCTCCCCCGCCCCTTACCGCAACGCCACCCCAGCCCCTGATTGTGCCCTCTCCCCTAGCGCAGGCCCACGAGAGAAGAGTTAGGATTTACCGTGGGGGCAGGATGGAGAGAAACTGAGGCAGGCTCTCCACCCAAAGTAGACAGAGGCATCCAGTGCTTTCAGTTGCTGGGGCTCAAGCAATTTTTTTACTTTCATAATTGACAGAGCAAGGCTTGAGGTGCTGGGCACAGGCACTGCGTGAATCTTCTGTTGGGGAAGGCTTCAGCCCCAGACACTCCCCAGAAGGTGCGGGGGGGGGGATACTGCTGCCTGTACCCAGGTCCCTCCCCACTCTGCCTCTTCCCCTGAAGCCCCTCACTGCTCATGGCCCCCCCCCCCCATGTCTAGGTAGCATTGTTTCTGGCACTCCACAAAATTTATGCTCAAATAAATTGGTTAGTCTCTAAGGTGCCACAAGTGCTCCTTTTCTTTTTGCGAATACAGACTAACTGGGCTGTTACTCAAACTCCAAAGGCAGTGAGCAAGCATGCCTCCACAAGGAGGTGATCTGCATAGCATCTATGGCATTTGTTCTCCTGCATGGCTAGTCCTTTTGGGGGAGGCCTCCCACAGCCTCTTATACACCCCACCCATGGTACTGGGGCTATGAACTGCCCAGCCTGGAGGCACCAGGGAATCGGGATCAGTCCTGGCACAAATTAAGCACTGGAGGTACCTACCTACCTACCATTAAAAGATATGCTCCAGCTCACATGACCAACAGCTCCTTATATCCAATATGTTGAGTTTAGGTAACTAACTATGGGCTTTAGAGAGGATCATGTTGCAAGAGTATTCATACAACCCTCATTCGGTTCTCACAGTCCTGTGCCCTATGCTCCTTTCCCAGCAGCAATAAGATCACTGCAAATAGAATGGGATAGAGCTCACATGGTAATTTAATTTTTTGGCAGGATAAAAATGTCAAATACAAAATTTCTCAATCAGAAAACCCAAATGCTTTGACAAAAACCAGACATTTTAGATAAAGATAGAAACTTTCACAGAAAAAAATGTAGTCAAAAGCCATTTTTCATTTTAAAAACAAAGTTCTGAGACACTTTTGGCCACTACTTGTTGGAAGCATTCACTGGGAGTCATTAAATCTTTGGTACATACTGTAGTCTGGTGTCTTTCATAATGGCTGTAGTTTGCCAGAAGCAACTATTGATAATACCTCAATGTTTCCCTCATATCAGGTATCCTTTATCAGGATGTATAGGTCATCGCTCTTACCTTGCTGATGCCTAATGCCCCAAAGGAGTAGTTTCAGAGGAACAGCCGTGTTAGTCTGTATTCGCAAAAAGAAAAGGAGTACTTGTGGCACCTTAGAGACTAACCAATTTATTTGAGCATGAGCTTTCGAAGTGAGCTGTAGCTCACGAAAGCTCATGCTCAAATAAATTGGTTAGTCTCTAAGGTGCCACAAGTACTCCTTTTCTTTTTGCAAAGGAGTAGTGCAATTCTTGGAGATGTGAACAGTTGAATATTGAATACAAGTAGCGAGGTTATTTTACCGGTGTATTTGGCAGTGGTGCAACTGCTACCGGAATACTTTGTCCAGCTCTGGACATTTCAAGAAGGGTTTTGGTAAATAGGAGAGGGTTCAGAGAAAAGATACAAGAATGATTAAAGGATTAGAAAACATGTCTGTGTCCTCTTGGGAATAAGGTATTGAACAAGCAAGTCAAAATAAAGAGTGGTAATAAAATGTAGGGGAGAGATCACCCAAGAATGGAACAGTAAAGTCAAGAAAAAGTTTCATAAGGAGACGGACATCCAAAAGGCTGTCTCATTGCTTTCCCACATCTTTCTCAGATTTCAGAAACAAAGCAGAGTGTCACCTTTGCTCATGAAATACTCTGAGCCACTCATAAGGGTATTATTTAAATACCAGAATAAAAGGAATGAAATCAAGGATTACAAATGTGCGTTGACTTTATGATTGGGGGGAGAAACAGTGGTGTAACCATGCACTAAAATAAAGATGTAAATAAGGGGAAGAGGAGTAGAAATATGGCTTAGTACAACTCTCCACAGGATGTTGGTCCTATTAAAAACAGAACAAAACTCCATGATGGAGTCCCAGAATCACAAAAGAGCTCCAGCATGGACCGAACGGGAGGTACGGGATCTGATCGCTGTATGGGGAGACGAATCCGTGCTATCAGAACTCCGTTTCAAAAGACGAAATGCCCAAACATTTGAAAAAATCTCCAAGGGCTATAACAGGGACCCGCAACAGTGCCGCTTGAAACTTAAGGAGCTCAGGCAAGCCTACCAAAAAAACAGAGGCGCAAACGGCTGCTTGGGGTCAAAGCCCCAGACATGCCACTTCTATGATGAGCTGCATGCCATTCTAGGGGGTGCAGCCACCACTACCCCACCCGTGTGCTTTGACTCCATCAATGGATTATCACACAACATTTTGGGGATGAGGAAGATGATGAGGAGGAGGAGGTTGAAGATAGCGCACAGCAAGCAAGCAGAGAAACCATTTTCCCGGAGAGCCAGGAACTGTTTCTCACCCTGGACCTGGAGCCAGTATCCCCTGAACCCACCCAAGGCAGGCTCCCGGACCCACCAGGTGGAGAAGGTGTACCTTTGTAAATATAATACATGGTTTAAAAGCAAGCATGTTTAATGATTAATTTATGGCCCGTAGAGCTACTGGAAAAGTCTGTTAACGTGTCCAGGAATGGAGCGGAAATCCTCCAGGGACATCTCCATAAAGCTCTCCTGGATGTACTCCCAAAGCCTTTGCAAAAGGTTTCTGGAGAGGGCAGCCTTATTCCATCCTCCATGGTAGGACACTTTACCACCAGGCCAGTATCACATAGTCTGGAGTCATTGCATAAGAAAGCATGGCAGCGTGTGGTCCTGGTGTTTCCTGGCATTCAAGCAACATCCATTCTTTAGCTCTCTGTGTTATCCTCAGAAGAGTGATATCATTCATGGTTACCTTGTTGAAATAGGGGAATTTTATTAAGGGGACATTCAAAGGTGGCTGTTCCTGCTGGGCTGTCTGCCTGTGGCTGAACAGAAATCTTCCCCGCTGTTAGCCACGCAGTGTGAGGAGGGGTGAAGTGATCATCCCAGAGAATTGGGTGTGTGTGCGGCGGGTTTAGTTGAGTTTGTGCTGCACGTTAACCCGAAAACCGCAGCCCCTCCTTTTAAATTGCCAACCCATTTTAAATGGCCAACCCAATGGCTGTTTGGTATGGGAAATGAGGGTGCTGCTGTTTGAAACCATTCCCACTTTATGAAGGTTAAAGAAGCCAAAAGACTGTGGCTTACCATGGCTGCCTGCAAGCCGAATTCTGTTGCCCGCCAACCCTGCGTGTGTGATAACTCACACCAAACCAGCAGACCCTCAATATAAGAAGCAAAATGCAACCTTGTACCAAATGCACATGTGCTATGTAACGTTAACAGTAATGTTATGAGCATTGTTCTCTAAAATGTGTCTTTAACTTCTACTCTCCCTTTTTTCCCCCTCCCACAGCTGCAAATGTTTCAACACTCCCCCTATCATCTCCATCCCAGAGCCTAGCGAAGATTAGAAGGTGAAAAAAACACACTCACGATGAAAAGTTTTCTGAGCTCATGCAGTCCTCCCACACTGAAAGAGCCCAGCAGAATGTGTGGAGGCAGACAATGTTAGAGTCCAGGAAAGCACAATATGAATGCAAGGACAGGTGGTAGGTTGAAGATGATAGGTGGGGTCAGCTTGCTGACAGAAGGCAGGAGTCAATGCTGAGGCTCCTGGAGGATCAAACTGATATGCTCCAGCATATGGTTGAGGTGCAGGAAAGGCAGCATGAGCACAGACCCCCGCTACAGCCCCTGTGTAACCAATCGCCCTCCTTCCCAAGTTTCATAGCCTCCTCACCCAGATGCCCAAGAATGCGGGGGGGGAGGGGCCTCCAGGCACACAACCACTCCACCCCAGAGGACTGCCCAAGCAACAGAAAGCTGGCATTCAATAAGTTTCAAAGTGCAGTGTGGCCTTGTCCTCCCTCACCCCTCCCGGGCTACCTTGGCAGTTACCCCCCTATTTGCGTGATGAATAAATAAAGAACGGATGAATTTGAAGCAACAATGACTTTATTGCCTCTGCAAGCAGTGATCGAAGGGGGGAGGGGAGGGTGGTTAGCTTACAGGGAAGTAGAGTGAATCAAGGGGCGTGGGTTTTCATCAAGGAGAAACAAACAGAACTCTCACACTGTAGCTTGGCCAGTCATGAAACTGGTTTTCAAAGCTTCTCTGATGCGCAATGTGCCCTCCTGTACTCTAACCATCCTGGTGTCTGGCTGCACGGCCAGGCGATTTGCCTCAACCTCCCACCCCACCATAAACATCTCCCCCTTACTCTCACAGATATTGTGGAGCGCACAGCAAGCAGTAATGACAATGAGAATACTGGTTTTGCTGAGGTCTAACCAAGTCAGTAAACTGCGCCAGCGCACTTTTAAATGTCCAAATGCACATTCTACCACCATTCTGCACTTGCTCAGCCTATAGTTGAACAGCTCCTGACTAATGTCCAGGCTGCCTGCGTATGGCTTCATGAGCCATGGCATTAAGGGGTAGGCTGCGTCCCCAAGGATAACTATAGGCATTTCAACATCCCCAAAGATTATTTGCTGGTCTGGGAAGAAAGTCCCTTGCTGCACCTGTTGAAACAGACCAGAGTTACTGAAGATGCGAGCGTCATGTATCTTTCCTGGCCATCCCACGTTGATGTTGGTGAAACGTCCCTTGTGATCCACCAGTGCTTGCAGCACCATGGAAAAGTACCCCTTTCAGTTTATGTACTCGCTGCCTTGGTGC